CTCCCCTTACTCTCTCAATACACATCTCCCTACTTCAGTATGTTTATGACTACCTCAGTCACACTCATCACTACCTCTTCCAATCCATGACTACCCAATTAAACATCTCACTACTTCAATTTACCCATGGCTCTCTCAACTTTGGCCTAACTACTCCATCACAATCATAACTACCTCAACACCTGTACCATGACCTAAGGTAGTTATGATCTTAATCAAAACCATAACTCAAGGACTTCAACCTACCCATGCCTCCCTCAACATATGAGCTAACTACCTCACTCGACTACGAACTCAAAATCCTTACGCTTACTACTCAACATCCACGACTCACTCCCTCAATTCCCACACCCACTATTACCAGCTACATTCAAAGACATACTCAATAAGTCGACTAGGCCTTACCTCACCTTTTTACTCCTTATACCAATGGAAGATAGCTCAGCACTGCAGGAGTTCGTCTTTCCAGTACCAAATGTCATTGAACTTCCTGGCTCTGACCGGTCAAATATGGACCACTATGTGAAGGACTTCAACGCCACCCAACATGGGTACCGAATCCGAATTGGTAACTCCAAGGAGGGCAGCCAATTCATTCACTACCACTGCTATCGAGGCGGATTTCCCAGCACAGGGACTAAAAAATCAGTTCGCATCGGCTGTCCATTCAAACTCAATGCACGATACCTACCCCACCACGATGCCTGGCTACTTATCCACACGCACCTTGGGCACAACCACCCCCCCGATCACGAACTTAAACCAAGAAAGCCAAGAAAGGCTACTACGCTAAAGAACAGTACCGAAATCCAAGGAACCAGCCATAGTGATCACACCAAGACTAGTCTCCTCCCCCTCGACCAAGTTGAAACCTCACCATCCTTCGACATCCAGCTTAACCAGGCCTCCACCAGGCCTGATGTCATCAGTACGCATCCAACGGTCTCTAGCATCACAACCGACCCCATCGAGTCAATGATCACCAATATACCTAGACGCCTACAAGCCATGTCACCAGCCCGTCAACACAAAGCATTAACTTTGATTGATGCGATCTTGAGTGACCTAGCAAGCCTTCCCAAAGGGCCACATGTACCCTCGATCACCAAACCCGACATCCCAAACCTTCCCACCTCGTTCACCTGTGAACAACAAGTATCTGTAAGCACCCTGTTCCAAGATAAGTAACTCGAGGTACCTTGCTTACATTCCAACCTTTACTGCAGGCCAACATTTACCACGCACATTTTGAAGCCACCCCTCACATAGGCCTCATGAGCAGCGAGGAACCAGTTCGATCCCCAGAGGGATCGTATGCATCGGTGAGTCTTACTCATCTGCATCCCACTTCAGAAGGCAAAGACATCTTGATGCAGAAATTTGATCTTCAGATTGATCGGCTATTCAACGACCTCCAGGGCTTACCTGACACCACTGAGTCCACATTTAACCTCGACAATCTCATCACTCAGCCCTCGCAATCTACCCACCCTCGGCCACCTTCACCCCTGCTTTCCCTTCCAACATCAAAACCAGCAACCCACGCTTTTCTGGACCCTGAAGATCTGGTAGGCCCCAACACATCACATCATCCAGGCTCAATCACTTCGCCTCCTGAGTGCCAAACCGAATCCGGGCCCCACACCCACAATAACTTCAAAAAAACACCTCAGCGACCTCCGAAGTCACCAAACGAACCCACCAAAAAATCACCAACTCTTGCTAGGGTCACTCGCAAAAGGGCCAGGGAGGAGGCCATACTACAGAAGTCGAGCATCGTCAATCCAGCCCTGCCAGCCCTTCTAGCCAAGTACCAGATACATGATTGGCTCAAACCCTACGTTATCGATGTGCGAGAAGTCCGAGGAGACGGTCACTGCGGATTCCGGTCAATTGCTGTCTCATTGGGCCAATCTCAGGACGCTTGGTCCGACATTCGACAAAGGATGCATGAGACCTTCAGCAACATGCCAAATGTATTCACTCGCACCTCCTTCCATGAAAGCCGAACCGCGGCTTTGGCTCGGCTCGCCACCACTAAACCAAATGTCACCTCCGAGCAACAATATTGGCTCAGCATGCCTGGTTGGGGTGGTGTCATAGCTACAACCTTTGACAGGCCTGTCTTATACTACGAACCTGGGTCAAATAGCCAGATGACGTTTCCTTACATTACACCCCACAACAATAACCCGCCTATAGTACTCGCCTGGGCGGACTATCACTTCTGCTCCCTTTTACTTGATTTCACAATTCCCAATTTCCCAGCCCCTCGTCTTTGTCCCACATGGCGAAGATTCAGTTCCACTGATGCCTCAAATTGGACCGATCCCTGGACTCAGCTGATCGAGACACACACTGCCTTTTTGAAGTCCCAAAATAAGGCTCGCAGAACCCAAAAGAAAAAGAAAAACCCAGTATACCTATCAGACTGACCCAAACCTCTCATTTTTTTGATCTTTTTACTATGCATATTGTATCAATAATATAAATCTAATTATAATCCACATCTTACATAAATTGGATCTCTTTATGAAATGATTTCTGAGCGTGATATTATCCAACTCACTGAAAGCCTTTGGCAAGCGTAAATGGGAAGGACTGCAATAAATTTAAGCAGTGTGTACTGAAAAAAGGTACATTTTGTCGATACAATGCAATAATTTGGCTATATACATGTACAATATAGGTCCGCTCCACAAACTGCAGCTAAATCCTTCACATCTTTCACACCCCGATCCCCTGCCAATCCATGGCTTCGTCAGGCAGGTTGAGGTCCTGGTCATCGAGTTCATCCTCAGCGAAAAAAATTGGAACCCCCAGCAAATCAGTCCAAATAGCAGCGCTTCTGGCAATCATTGCTTGCCATCAATCAAACAAGCCTTGATCCATGTCCCCACTGCCCTCTACAAAAGCTGCCGTCGTATCCAACACCTCTTTCAGACCCCGATCCCACCTTTGCAACAGCCTGCATGTTTGCTTAGCAAGTGTAGCATAAACCGACCTCCACTCAATCACTCGGATGTCTCCTGCAAAGGTAAGAGTCAGTGCCTTATATTCATTACATACTAGCCGCTTTGAAGAGACTGACCGTTGGCCTCAGACGGTTTCGAGGCCTCAACTCGACTTTGATAATCTAGACCCCACATCATCATTTGCCTGACCTCACGCCCCAATCGCCGAAGCTCTTCTTTGGATGAACGATGACTCTGAAATGCAAGTATACCATCTTTGGTGCTTTGGCAACTAGCCCAAGGTTCATCTGGATGATCAAGCGCCCCCTGGTTCCAGAATGCATCCAGTAGGTCCATGTTGAGGATTTCGTCAAAGGTTGGTTCAGGCACTCTTGGAGTAGGGCGAAATCGCCTGTTGTAACTGACAGTGTGCCTCAGGTATGTCTCGGTTTTAGTTTTCAACATCTTCATCTTCTTTCGTCGTAATTCTTCATTCCTTGGCTGCTGGGTTGCCCCTGCGATGAGGGGAGACGACTCATGATCAGGGACAAAAGACACCTTTGTTTTTCAAAAAAACCCTTACCAGTCCGAATAGCAGCATTGCTCTGCTGTTGCATTACATCCCACTTTGCCTCGTAAAGGAATCCCATGGCGACCTGAACAGCGAGGGCTCCTTTTACACGTGCATCTACATAGGAGCAGAAAGAGGTCAATCAGACTGCTGATTGGAGTTGAGGGTCCCAAGCAGCGCTTACCAGTCCCATGCCTCACATTGACAACCTCGGCATTGCCGAGTTCTTGGGCAACCTCTTGCATTTTGACTTCCAGGTTTGCAAGGGACCTCGGCAGTCCAAGGAGTTCCTGACGTTGCTCAGCAGTTCGGATGGCTGCATTACCAGCATCGATCTCATTCATTCTCTTACTACAATAGAATGTCAGCATGATTCGGTTTGGAAAAGAAGTTCCCACAGATCGCCAGGAAAGAAAGACACCCACCGCGCTTCCAGAAGCTCTTCCTCCAGTTCAATCAAGACCTCAAGTCTCACACGTTTCTCCTTTGTCCTCACATTCATCTCTTTGAGTTGCAACTCACGCTGGCACCCCCACTGGGCCTCAAAATACTCGTAAGTATGCGACTCATTTGCCTGCAACAGCTTGGCCAGAGATTCCTCTGATGAAAGTAGCTCGGCTTGATACTTCTTCGTGTCTGCTATGAGGAATTGCACTATGTTGATCAATTAAATCCAGTCGCTTCAGGAATTAGTTCTTGATCTATTGTTTATAAGTGAAATGGTTGGCCTCTTACCAGCTTTGTTCTTTAAGACGTCGTTGCAATGGGTAGCCCGAAGGTCCAAACTGACTAGGCGATGCTGTTTAGTCACATACCTCAACAACGACACCAAGGGCGCCATCTTCCACCACACGCGTTCCAAACCCTCCCCATTTGATTTGCCCCATCCCCCATTAAGTCGCGGGTTGAATTCTAACTGACATGCCCAGTTGTGTGCATAGGCATGAAACAAAGCAGTACCCATTCTGACTTGGTCGGCCTGTTTCGGGTCTGTAAAGACTCGCGTCTTATTGGATGAAATAATAATGAATCACAATGAATGTTACATTTTGGAAAAGACAGCATGTACTAAATTTAATACCTTTTTAATCGTTTTATCGAGGTTGCATCCAATGTCGTAGAGCACCCCAACAATGGTGTCTTCATCCCGCTCGTTCGCGAATAGGTCCAAGAGCCATTGGATAAGGGGCAGGGCGTAATGAGACCTGCAGACAGTGTTTGAATGGACGGTTGAGCCCTGCTCCCATGATATAGTCGAATAGATGACTACTCACTTTTCCCCAGTCTGCACGATATTGATGAACTTGAGGAGGTGATCATGCCGACATGCCCTTCCCAGTAATCCAGATTCGTCCATGTTTTTGAAATGCTGTTTACCTCTCACATCATTTGCAGTAGTATGCGCCTCAGTACAAGGGTCCTAATGCACGCTGGGTCAGTGAAGTAGTTGAGCTCATGATTACCAACAGCTACTTAGCTAACCATATCACCATTGTTCTCTCCTTTGTGTCCCATAAATCGTGCCTTTGCTGCCACTAGCTTTGGATCGAGAAACATTTGCGGCCTAGGTGGATTGAAACCAGGAATTTCCACACTTGCTTTCACTGTAAACATCATTCAACTTCCCCAATTTGGCAGAGGAAAATGATTAATAGTACAGTTTTTCATAAAAGAATCTAATACTGCACACCTGGGCCATTTCACCCACACTACATATGTGCAGCAAGCTAAGTCAATAGTTGTCTATCATGTACATACAGGTCTGCTCAGTTTTTTGCCCATCAGAATAAATAAATCACATGTTATACCACATGTAACTTTTTCGACTTTGAAATTTTTTTCCCAAAAATTCACTACATATAATTCTGTAGCTGCTCAGGCAATATTGTTGAAGCTATGTCTTAGTAACAGAAAGTGTGTTACATGCAGTTGAGTTGATGAGATCACACCAAAACATTGAGTCAGTGTATGTAGTCAATCTTTTGGAAGCTTTTTTCAATCTGAAAGAAGTTACAGCATGTATTACATATGAATAACTTGTCCTGATGATAATGCACGCTGGGTCAGTGAAGTAGTTGAGCTCATGATTACCAACAGCTACTTAGCTAACCATATCACCATCGTTCTCTCCTCAGGTGTGGAGTGATAGACCATTTTATGACAAATCATACTCCCAATCATTTTTCCCTGCCCACTTGGGGAACCCGAATAATGTCTGCAGTGTTTGGCATGTCGCTTGTGCTGGAAATTACCATCTAAACAGACCACCACGCGCGCTTCGTCGGTTTGAGTCGTGCCGACTGGGGGACCAAAACATTTGGGGCAGTTCACCGCCAGAATCCCCAGCTTGCTGAGGCGAAGACGTTCATGTTCGATTTTGCGTATCTGCATAATGATAGCGCGGTACGCATCTATTGCCTCTGTAAAAGGCTGTCGCCAATCCCGAGGCTGAGGTGAGGAGGACGTGAAGTAAGAAAAACGTGTTATTTGGATTTGGGAATTGAGTAAAGTTATCACCCACCTGCATTTTTGACGTTAAAATCAAGGGACTGTGATCGTCCAAAGTGTCATCAAGCGCATCACAGAAACCCTGTGTTCCGACTGCAAATCGTAACCAGACAGCGTGATGGTGTTTCATCAGGCGAACAGAAAATGCGGTCCGGGGTTGAGATGGCGATGCTGCAATGTATCCCAATTGCAGTAGTCAGGTTGTGTCTGACACATCACATGACTTGCAGAATGATATCTTGACTCGTCTGCGACCTGTTAAAGATCCGACCAGTCAGAATTTTCGCTCAAGCCTATTGAGGCAGAATATCAACATAAACACACTTAATATATCTATTAAATCAACATCTCGCTCGGTCCTGCGCGCGCAGTTGCAGGGAGGCCTGAAATCGTGGTTCCATCGCGCCTCATCTCCCCAATTAGATGTTGCAAGTCGACACCGAAGAAAAGTCGGCAGCATGAGGGCATATTGCCAAGCCCATCGATCTTCATGTTTTCGGCGATTAGATAGATGCTGTTCCCGTCGGAGCGCCTCTAAAACCGGGTTGACTTCATCATTGGAAGGCCCTGTTGGGAATCGAAATGGCATGAACTGGTTCAAGTCAATCTCGTCCTCACCGGCGTCGACTTCGCCTGGTTCGGCATCGTCGGCTTGCCACTCGTCCATGATGTGCGCGGGTATTGGCAAATCGGGGGGATCCTCAACCTGTGGCAGGATTGGATTGGCTGTAAAGCGGCGTAGTCGTGCCGCATGCGAGGCTTCAGCATGCCTGTCGTCCTTCTCTTGGAGATCAAGAAGTTGTTGTTGCAAGGGCGTCCTTGCCTTTGGGGCCCTGGCATTGCTTTGTAGGCCTGGAATGCGACGGTGAGATGGCATGATCAGCTTCGAAAGTTGAGTGAAATATGATATCAATTAATAGAAGGAGGGATAAAATGACAAGTGTATTAAATTATAAGAATCATTAATATTGAGCGTCCTTGCCTTTTCCATATATATTGGCCTATGGAATGTTTGCACTGGCTGGCAAAAGGCTTGACCGATGACTTACGCACAATTGATTTGAAATGCATGTCGACTGTCGATTTGAGCCAAGGTTCCAAGGCGGCTTTGGAATGTTTGCATACCAAGTCAGTTCACCCTCCTACATTGAATGGGTGGCCGAAGACTTACGGACGCATTATATTAAGTTGCATGTTGTCTTTGATTTGAGCTAAGGTTCAAAGGCGGATTTGGAAGGATTGAACACCAAGTCAGTTCATTTTGCTTACATAATGTTTGGAGCCAGGCAGAACTGGGAAGATCTCCAAAGCCAAGTAAAATTACTCAATTTTACTTGACATGTAAGTCCGATGCGGTGAGGTGAGACTTGCTTCGCCTATTGAAGTAGTGGCAGGTTCATTATTCGATCTTCTTGCATAAAGGCTTGAAGCCGCATCACTTAGCAAAAGTTATCGGTCACGATTGTCCACATATTCGCGTCTGCCGAGTTCGATGGTTGAGTGGGCGTAAAGTCAGGATGAAGACGCTTTCGGTTCCATTTTGGCTACTTTGGTTTGATATTGGTCAATGGTTGACAATGGGGGACATTGGAAAACTCATCACCAAAGTACAAAATGAAATAGGCATCGACTGCGCTTCTAACCCAGCGTGTTTCGGCTCTAACAGCTTGATAACTGCTATGGGTCCTGTGGCTGGGAGGTAGGCAGGCATGGCGCCCCTTCACTAAATGGAAAGCGCCAGTTCAGCACCTTGGTTCGACCCCTGGCTGCGACCCCTTTGTCTTCTCCAATAGTCAACTAACTTTTTGGCAACTGCAATCAAGTGTCATACTCATATGAATAGTTTGAGCTTATACTATTGAGTGATCTCTGCAACACTCAATAGTGAAGGGTTTTTCTGGACACAAGGTTTTGGGGAAATATTTCAATAAATTAGTATATTCAAGATTTTTCTTTGCATATTTTAAATAAGCAAAATAGACCTATTGTATAATAGTAATTATACTGTGATTAAGCTCAGGTCAAGGATGTGTAATGTAACTCTGGAATAATACACTGCATTTTGACCAAAATGTCCGCATTTTTTTGGATGTATAGTCATCTTGACTTCAAGTGTGTAACTGTGGTGGCACATACATCAAGGGGTACATAAATGGTAATTTGGGTCTTGCATGGAGTTCCAGTGGTCAGAAATAAATTATGGAAGTGGTGAAAACAATATAAATATATTAAGGAATATGTGCTTGCTGCTGGCATGTCTCTACTCTAGTAACATAGTACACATGTTACTTGTTTACTCCACATACCCACCACTTGATAGTACACATTACATTACTTACTCCACATACTCACCTGAAAACTTGAAGAGAGTGTTGTCCCAGGCGTAAACCACACCTGGGAAACTTATGCAAGTGTCCAATTGGCATTGGGAGGTGTGGCCAAAAAGTCATTAAGTGTTATGGCATTCCTGCAGGCATATGTGTACTGAAGTAAAAAAGTACACATGTAATTACTTGCTCCACACACTCACCTGAATACTTGAAGAAAGTGTTGTCCCAGGGGTAATCCACACCTGGGAAACATTTGCAAGTGTCAAAATCACAATAAGAGGTGTGGCCACAAGATTATTAAGTGTTATGTTATTCCTGGGGGGCATTGGTCAACTCGAGTAAAATAGTACACATGTAATTACTTGCTCCACATACTCACCTGAATACTTGAAGAAAGTGTTGTCCCAGGGGTAATCCACAAGTGGGAATCATTTGCAAGTGTCAAAATGGCAATGGGAGCTGTGGCGAAAAAGTTATTAAGTGATATGTTATTCCTGCAGGCATTGGTCAACTCGAGTAAAATAGTACACATGTCCATTACTTACTCCACATGCCCACCTGGCTACTTGATGAAAGAGTTGTCCCAGGGGTAAACCACAACTGGGAATCATTTGCAAGTGTCAAAATGGCAAAAAGAGGTGTGGCCAAAATTTATTAAGTGATATGTTATTCCTGCGGGGCATTGGTCAACTCGAGTAAAGTACACATGTAATTACTTGCTCCACATACTCACCTGAATACTTGAAGAAAGTGTTGTCCCAGGGGTAATCCACACCTGGGAAACATTTGCAAGTGTCAAAATCACAATAAGAGGTGTGGCCACAAAATTATTAAGTGTTATGTTATTCCTGGGGGGCATTGGTCAACTCGAGTAAAGTACACATGTACTTTAATTACTCCACATGCCCATCTGGCTACTTGAAGAAAGAGTTGACCCAGGGGTAAACCACATCCTGGAGTCATTTGCAAGTGTCCAAATTGCATTAAGAGGTGTGGCCACAAAGTTATTAAGAAAGTACACATTCATCACTTACTCCACATCCTCACCTGAATACTTGAAGCAATTGTTGTTCCAGGGGTAAACCACACTTGGGAACTACTTTGCATTTGGAGGTGTGGTAAAAAAGTTATTAAGTACTCAATCAAAACAGTACACATGTGCATCTCCACATGCCCATCTCTTATAGAGGTTGAAGGATGATTATACCTAACCATGTTAAACACACATTTCAATTAAATGGAAACATAAAATGTTCAATGACTGTATGTTCACATCAGTTTGTAAGTGACATGTGGCATTCACATTTCAAATCACTCTGAAATTTACACTTGCGCTTGTAAACTCATTTGTTGTTTTAATAATTTTGCCTCTCAATTCATAATCATTCCTCAGAAACTCATATGATGTGTTAATCATATGTATAATGTAAACTGACATTTTTAAATATCAAGGTTAAAGAAATGCAAAAACCAATGTTGACAAGAGCTTTCATTTCAACATCATCATGAAAGCAAGTGCTTATAATGTAACTAACCAAGGAAGGTTGGACGCAAGTCAGGGCAAGAGGCATCATGATATATATATTTAAAATACTGACATTCGATCTGGTTTGGGTCATACAATTGTATCATAGGCATTGCTTAGGAGGATGATGAAAGGCATATCATAGGTAATCTCATACAATTATAGGCAATCTAGTAAATCACATCCTTGAGCTCCAAGGCGCTGCAAGAGCGATGTCTACACAATTCATCCTTAATGATCTTTGCGCGAGCCAGTCCTTTTTGACGCTCATCAAGCCTTTGTGAAATCAACTTGGGATAAGTTAGCAGCAGTAAGAGTTATACCCAGAGAAAGAAGCGTGGCTGACCATTCTCTGGATGGGGCAGGGTTTCTGGGAAGGGAAGTGGAAGTTGACATGCTGGTATTAGAAGTGGGGGTGCGTTAGACAATAGGTCATGGGTAGATAAAGCGAGTAAGTAATTCAGGGAAACATTACTTACTTGCCTGCCAATCCAGCAGGCGCAGTTGGAGTGGCTGAAGAAGAGCCAGATGAGCCCCCTGGAGCGCTGGGGCCAGCAATAGAAGAAGGCGCGTTGAGGGAAGGAAAGGCCTCATCGCAGTCATCCTTTGCCAAAGATGGCCAAAGCGTTTTGATGCTATAAGGCTTGGCGACGCCTGGTCTGACTTGAACAACACGATATTCGCGAAACCCCTCGTGTTTTTTGTGTTTTGGTTTCGGCGCGACCTCCTCAGGTTCAATGTTGATGACTATGACCCTTTTCTTCTTCTTTTTCTCAGGACAAGCAATTTGGCGATGACCAAATCCGGCGCAGGCAAAGCACTGGTCTTCTCCTAGAAGCACCTCTGGGGGCGCTCCAGGAAAAGGTGGCAGCATTGGGTGCAATTCGGTTTGACGACGCGAGGGTATATCGGCCAACGATTTGACCTCGTACCGAACCGCTTGATTCATGGCTTGAGCTTATGAGTACCCAGCTGGCCTGGGGGCTTGAAGGGATGAGGGTGTTGTCTTTCTAAGGTTCTAAGGGTCAGGGGTCCAGCTGGACGATATGGAATGCACAAAGGCTTTTGTTAGTACTCTAGATCTAGCAAAGCAAACATGATTCCAAATGAAGAATCTCACTGGGCAAAGTGGATTGGGTAAACTGGTCGAAACCAGAGCCTACAAGCGACAAGATATACAATTTCTAGGTTGAGAAAGAAATGGTTGATGAATGAGCTTGGGCCAAAAGGTGGAAGTGGAAAGAGATAGAAGTCTATACCGAAATGACCTGCTTGTCGAGGTTGTTAAAAGTGAGGAAGGCCCTTGTGGAAGGCAAGAGGGGAGGGCGAAGTTATATGTTGAGGTAGTTTTGCAATCAAACATATGGCAATTGATATGCTTCACAGAGAGGCAATGATGACTCGAACCTGGCGATCAATCGCCATTGAGTGGCCAAATACTGCAATCATAGTTCTTATCGCTCAAAGGTATTGGAACAATCTTTGCATGTTCACATATCAAGTGTCAAACTATGCATGTATATCATTCAAATCAAGCCAACTGCAATATCAGGATGCGATATACCATATGCTTCAAAAGAAGGAAGTGGCCAAACCACATGAACTCATCAAAAGGAAGAAAGTAAGAGGGAGGATTGTTTGGAAAGATTAAAGTTGAGGGGCGCAAATAGGTCAGCACACGCTTAGGCTGAATGAATAAAAAAATATCTTAACAATCTGTACACCTTATGCAGATCACTCTGGAGAAGGTTTGATGCCATTCATCATGCGAAAACTCGGAACCCAAACAAAGCGGTCCAAACAAAGAGATGTCACATGATATTGAATGCGTGTGATTTCATACATAGCAAAACATTCAAACGCAATAGAGGAAGGAAAAACGCTGAAAGATTAAAACCTACAAAGAGGTCGAGGTGCTTGCACAAGAAGAGGCAGCGAGCGCGCCGCTCTGCCAGCGAGCGCGCCGCTCTGCCAGATATTTTGCGTACAAGCGCTTTTGCTCATCAAAGAAGGATTGAATACAACTGGCCAAGGCAAACCCACCTGGATAGAATGGAATCCAAAGGCGGCTGTCGCTGAACACTTTGGGTGATTGATTCATCCCTGAAAAGCGCGCTGCGCCTGCAAAGACATCTGCATGACTATAGATGGCCATGCAGATGCGCTGTGCAGGCTCATTGTTTTTGTTCGGAAGGCAGGTGATTTTGCTGACACCATGCATCAGGATGTCAAAGGCCCCATGGACTGAATATCCTGGGGCCCCACAAACAGCGTAGCCTAGGTAATTCAAGATTAGCTCGCCTCCAGCGTAATGTTGGCCAAAGAAGTTTGCCGAAGCGAATAAAGTCGCATTGTGGCCATCTCGATGGTGGTCGACTTGCATATTAAACATAACATGCCTTCCTGCGCGTTATGAAAGCAAGCCAGGCGTCAGCGTAAGTGGAAAGACCAACCATTGAACCAAATACTTGCCCAGGCCAATGGGGTTAATGAGGCCCCTGATCGATTTGGAGACGCCAGGGGTGCCACTATTAATGAGAACTTGGAGGGAATTGGTGGCGGCGGTGTAAGAATTGGGTTGAAATGCCTTGATGATGAGGCGAGCTTGTTCATTGTGCCAAATCAGCTCGGATTCGATACGGTCTTCTGCATCGCGTTGGAAAGAGTGCTCCTTGCCCATCTGTATCATCGCGGCGAGGTTGAACTGGGAGACCTCTTTGGAGGCCCAATCAGACTCAGGATGACCCTGCCGAGCGCGGCCCAGGGCCATCTGAGTGTCTGACATGCCTGTGGAAAAGTCCTGCAGGTGGAAAAGTTAGCAGATGAGCGATGTGGAGGTTGAAAGAGGTTGAAAAACGAACGCACCGAGTATCTACCATAGCCAACCACCTGGGAAGATAGAACACCCGTGGTAACACCAGGGACCTCGTTGTAGACGGACTTCGCCCCGCTTAGGCGCGAACTGGCGGTCGAAGAAACTTCGAAGGGGCTAGAAAAAACAGGAGGAGTCGCTGTGGGGTCGTGGGTCGTTCGGAGTGATGTTGCGAGGGTCATGGGACCTGCAAACACAGGTGTATCGTTCACGATCGCTGCGCCTGCCAAGGCAAGTCGTCCCCTTTCCTATTCATGATGAAATTCAGCCTCTTGCATACCAAAATAATAGCCAGGAAGACTTACCGTGCCACTGAGCGTTGAAGCTGTTAAACTGTCTTTTGGGGGAACAGCCACAGCGACGGCGCGGTTGGCCACATCAACAAAACAACAGCTGAGTCTTGACCAACAATTTGTGGGTCCTTGGTGCGGTCGATTGCCAGTTGATTAAGAGCAGCCAGGTTCGGGTAGCGGAGGGCGAAAGGCAGTGGCAAATTTGGATGAGCATCGTAATCAGCTATGACCTGGTTGATGTACTGGGTGCAATGTCGGAGGCTCTCCTGTCGACCAGTCAATGGATCAAGAATTGAGTAGTCGGCAGTGATCTTCTCAACCGAAGCTCGGATATCACCGAGCTTGAGGTGATCGGTTTGTTGGAGAAAGTAGGCCACGGCGAGGTCAAAATCAACGGGAATGATGGTCGCTTTCTTGAATATGCGGTGAAGGTACTCGGCGACTTGGGCTCGTCGGCGATAGACGCTGGGAAATTCATGCGCGGCGACGTCAGGGATTAGGTGAGGTGGGATAAAGTGCGAACGCGGCTTCGGCTTCGTTTGGGTTTTACTACCACCCTTCTTCTTCAAGGGCCTCCTGCCAGGAGGCTTGGCAGGGTGGTTCGCGTTTGGGACCAGTGGTGCAACAGGAATGGAGGCGGTAAGCAGGCTGTCAGATTGTTGGGAGTGTTAGCACCTCGCAAGTGGCCTACGGGACGATGATTGAGGACGTACCTGGGCAACACAGTTTGTTCGATATCGGATAGGTCGGTGAGGTCCGAGTCGAGGTCCATTTCGTCGAATCTGGTAGTTGCGTCGATATTGGAGATCTCAGACATATTGGAGATCGAACTGGCATGCAAAATGTAACAAGACGATCAGCCCCGTGACCTCGGATCGAGTTGATCACTTGCTTCATGAATCCAAAGACACAGCCGGGTGACTCGGAAGCATGCATACACAGGAATATTTCTCAGGGAACCTGTCAACCTGAGACTACAAGTAAGGTGAATACTAGTTAGTTCAGAGTTGAAAGATACTCACAAAATGTATTCTTTCTAGTTTTAATCAAGATTTCTTGAAACTAGAGGGAGATTATTTTTCAAATTCTTCGTGAGTAATTAAAAGTAGTTATAGTTGTTAGTTATAACTGTCTTAGGTGCGGAATAAAACCGCTGCCAGTTCTGAAGATAAAAGTGCAATCACTTTTACTACCTTCCAAGGAGAATACGTTGTTTAGACGTAAGCAGTGCCTTAGGATGACGCTTCAGCGTTAGTTTGATAAAACAATTCTTTATCAAAAATAGAGGATAATTTTTAGGAACTTTAGTCGAAGATAGTCAGTACTATCACGATCTTTAACGTCCTGAGGGGGATATAAGATGAAGATGAAAAAGAGAAAAAGAGGTCTGGCCGAGACGCGAGTTTGATACGAAAGAAGCTAGTAAGTAAGTTTCTAATGTATAACTGTAAGTCTTGGACAGATGAGTGAAAAAGGAATAATACGAAGTGGATCTTTCTAAAACAGTGAGTTTGTTTGAAAAGGTGGTTTTAAATTTGTGCGTGGTAAAAAGATGATTTTCCATTCCTTTGAAGTAGGCTCATATTTTATATACCTGGTTCAGCGAGTGTTCTCTTGATGAACTTTCAGGGTTTGATTACATCATATGATTGTTGCTGCCTAGTCCAGTCAAATATGCTGATGATAGTTGTAGTTAAGGGTTTGCCTGGTCAGGGTTTGTTTAATTGACCGGACCCTTATCTTTTGTTTCTTAGTTGTTTCGATAACTACTCTTTTGGTTACTTACCTCACTTTTACTTGGACAATGTTTTGTTAAACATAACTTATTAAGTATAGTTTTAGTATGTTAATTTAATGTAAAAAGTCTTTTATTCTAAGTTATACACTCTTGACACTGAGTGATAGCGATGTAGGTTTTTTTCTTTTTTATAAGTCTGTTTTCTGATAATGGTTCAACCATTTGTTTGTATCTTTGTCAACTAGGTAGGGGTTCTGCTCTGCAGAACCTCTTACAGTTGACACTCACCGGGGTCGGAAAAAAGAAAAGATCAGGAGGAGTTTTTCTTTTCTATTCTGAATTTTCTAAGAACCTGTGATGCATTGGCTATTTTATCCTCTGGGAGCCATTCATCTTGGTCAGATGGTTTCCCTTTGTATCTGACAAGATACAATCTTACTTCTTTACCGCTCAACTTCACTCTCTTTTGGTCTAATACTTTAAGTATACTTTTAGGAGCTTCGTCGTCAAACGGTACAACTTCCTCAATTTGAGTACGCTTAGAGAATTTGCCTGGTTCTGCTTCTTTGAAGTGTTTTAATAGAGAAACTGGGAAGGTTGGGTGTTTTCGGGCAAAGTCACCTGTTAACAAAACTTCTACCGCATTTGGACCGTGTAGTTTAATGATTATAAATGGTCCTACAAAGGAGTCTTTCAGCTTACGCGGTCCTTGTATATTGTTAAAGTTAACCGTTGATACTAATACTTTGTCGCCTACTGCGAATTCTGGCTCTTTGTGAGTTTTATCCCATCGGTGTTTGTTGTATTTAACCGCATCATCAATACAGCTTCTAGCATGTTCCCTGGCTTTTGACAACATATCATGGAAGCTGAGTGACGTCGGGTGAACTTGTATAGTTTTATCCCTGACCATGTCTTTTGGAGTTCGGGGATTATATCCTCTTTCGATTTCAAAAGGCGTCTTACCCGTTGTGCTGTGTACACTAGTATTGTACGCCATTTCTAACGCTGGTAGAAGTGTTCTCCAATCGTGGGTAAAGCCATCTTTATCTTTGAAGGCTAGCCCAAATGCGCAGTATCTACGAAGCATATCTTCAAATGTTTGGATCATTCTTTCGGCTAGTCCGTCCGTCTGAGGATGATAAGCTGTAGACATTGCTAGCGTTGTGCCCATAAGCTTCATCAGTCCTTTCCAGAATTCTGATGTAAACTTAGGATCACGATCACTAATAATTATCCTTGGTAGGCCGCTGTCAGTTATGATGTGCTGCCAGAACAATAGTGCTGTACTCGTAGCATCTATTTCCTTGTGGCACGGGATAAATCTTGCTCGTCGGGAGAATCTGTCAACTATGACTAGCACGCTATTAGTGCTATCATGTCCTGCAGGCGGCAATCCTGTCACAAAGTCCATATTGATGACTTCCCACGGAAATTTTGGCTCTTCAATTCTTTGGAGTAATCCAAACCTCTTGCCTGTTTGTCGGTTGGCTTTCTGGCATCTTTCGCACGAATCTACATATTGTTGTATGTCTTTTTTCCACTCTGGCCACCATGCCGTAGAGCTCATTCTGTGGACAACTCTTTCTTCGCTTAAGTGACCAGACATGAAGTCATCATGGCAAACCGCTAACAGTTGCTCTATGTTCTCTTTGCTGCACACGACTAGGACGTTTGTGTGTCTTTCCTTATAATAGATCAGTCCCGATATCATGGCAAATTTACCTTCTGTGAAAGGTTCCTTCCATTCAGGTTCCAATGTGCTTTCTAAAGTGACGTCTTTATGTTCTAAACTGAAGATTTTTGTTAGAGTAAGAGTATTTGGGTTTTGTTTGTAACTCTCCTCGACTTGTTGGAAGAATTCATCTGAGAGTTCGCTCAAACTTAGACCCATCACTGGTATGTCCCGATTCTCGTCTTCTGCTTCCCATGCTGGATTGTCGGAATTATTAGGCATCGCCATTCTGCTTAGAGCGTCGGCGTTGCTATGCAATATTCCTGGTCTATGAGTTATTGTCATGTAGGATTTATATTCTTGTATAGCCATTTGCCACCGAAGCATGTGTCTTGTCGGAGTCTTTGTGTTCAACAGGGATTTTATCGCCTGGCAATCAGTTATGACTTCGAAATATATCCCGTCAAGGTAATAATGAAGTTTGTTTAGTGCCCACACAAGGGCTAAGCATTCCAGCTGAGGCGCTCCGTATCTCTTTTCGCTCTCTTTAAGCTGTCTAGAGATAAAACATACTGGTCCGTTGACTAGTTTACCCTTCATTACTTGTTTTTGGTGTAATGCCGCTCCCAGGCCTAAGAAACTGGCGTCTACATATAATATGAAAGGCTTTGAGAAATCAGGTTGTAAAAGGCAAGGTGCCGTTGTAAGTAACTGTTTAACATTATTCCATGCTCTAGCCCTTTCTTCTGTGACTGTAAATTCAACTCCTTTTTTAAGCAGGTAGTATAATGGGAACGTAATTTTTGCGTAATTCTCCAAGTACATTCGGTAGTAACTAGAGAAGCCTAAAAAGCTTTGTATGTCTTTAACTGTCCTCGGTAAAGGTCTATGTATTACTGCTGCTACTTTATTCTGATCAATTGCTAAGGTCAAGCCGGAGACAATGTGTCCTAGGGCTTTAACTTCGTGAAATCCAAATTTACATTTATCTAACGAAACTGTGGCTCCTAGTTGTTTGAGTTTAGCAAGAATGGAAGTCAAAGTTTTGCAATGATCTTCCCAAGATTCGTGAAACACAATAATATCATCGATGTAAACTATTACGTGTCCGTCTCGTAGTTCATCGTGAAATTCTGTGTCCATCATCTTTTGGAAGAATGCTGGCGCGTTTTTAATACCGAACGGCATACGTTGATATTCAAATATCCCAAGGTGTAAGATAATTCTCAGAAATTTCTTACTGCTCTCTGCTACCATATTCTGGTGGAATCCTTTCATCAGGTCCATTGTGGTAATGTACACTGATTTTCCTAGATTGGTAATGACTTGCTCGATTCTGGGCATGGGGTATCTGTCCGGTTCCGTGTACGCATTCAAAGCCCGGAAGTCACCACATACACGTGATTTTCCTCCGTGCCAAGCCACTACGCATGGTGTAGTAATCTCCACGTCCTCGTTTTGCTGGACTTTACGGAGAATTCCAAGTTTGACAAGTTCGTGGATGTGTACTTCTAGTTCTGCACGATTTCTGGGGCTTGCTGGGTAGGCTGCTTTACGTAATATAGGAGGGTATGGTTTATCAACGGTGAGTCTGATTTCCACCTCGTATTTTGTAATCTTTCCTATTTTATTTTCTCCCAGTCCAAATGTATCGTAAAATTTTTCTACAATCGACTGGATTTGATTTGTTTGCTCATCATTCAGATTTTCACCTGAGATAATACGGTTTTTTATTTCTCGACCTAGAGTAAACATTGAAGATTTCGCCTCTTGCAAGATGGACAGTAGTTGTTTTTCTTGAATGAGCGCAAACTTCTTTTTCTTGTTTTCATTTCCAATAGTAAAGTATTTCTCTCGCGTGTGGATAATATCAATGCCGTATAAAGACAGGAAATCATCTCCTAGAATGAAGTACTGAGGTGTGGCGTTCTCCATTACTACGAACTCAGGTTTTATTCTAACCGAGCCATCCGTATGAGGAAAAATAAGTGGAACTTCTAATATTCCTATTGCTCGAAGTGTCTCGCCGCAACCCCTAAAGGTTGTGTTACTTTTTGGAAGTAATTTTTCTCTCCAGTCAGGTATTATCTTAGAGATAAAGGCTTCTCCCACTGCTGAGCATGATGCGCCACTATCCAGGAGACACTTAACTTCTTGACTCGCGGCAATTACCGTTGTAAGACTGTGCTGTCCCATGAGGTGGGCTTTACCTGCAGCTGGCCTAGACTTCATCTGGCGGGCGTCGCTGATTTGTTTACTTTCCAGTCCACTGTGCCACTTTTGTGGTATCCCAGCTTCTGCTTGTATGTTTGATATGTCTATTTCTTCATTATAAGATTCTATAGCTCTGATGATTGTACTGTCGAACGTCCGGCCTATAATCTTAGATTCATGTATAGGTACAAATACGGTAGTCATTCCTGATATTCTTAACTCAATGTTATCTGCATACGAGATGCTCATACCGTAACTATTCATCATGTCTGCGCCCAAGATAATCTCTACGTTTCTTGCATCAGATATTACAACAAAGTCAATCATAAGTACGCAAGGACTTGTGTCATGTACAAATTGGATTGGTAATGTTATCTCGCCTATGGCTGTCAAGCTGCCCGAAGCACTGAAGTAGTTTTTTCTCGGTGCTGACTTAATATCCCTTTCCCAACTGGGCCATATGTTGTTGAGGATGCGAGGGGTAATGAGGGAATTGCACGCTCCAGTATCTATCAACATATTGATCTTCCAACTATTGCACATAGTTGTTAAAAAAGGGCTGCCTAACTGGATCAGGGTTTTCCTTCGAGGGATAAAAATTGGGTATGTAGATTTTGTTTCTTCCAAACATGAGATATCCATAACTCGGAATTCTTCTTCTAGATGCGAGATATCTGCTATTTGCAAGGAATCGTCTTGAACTACTCTGTACTCGCCGTCGTCGTATAGAGAGTCATGATCGTCATTGAAAATAATTTCCAACTCTTCTCCTGTAGGTGTGTGTGGTTCTGAGGCACAGTCTCCTTCAATCACATTGATATTCTTACTTTTTCTCCTGCAGGCTCTAAAATCATGTCCTGATTCTGTGCTCCCGCATGTATCACACTTACCTGGTACTCTTACTACCGGTGGTTTTGCAATATTGGGCTTTGTGGCTGCACTGCTACCAGATGTTGCTTGGGTCTTCCAGTCCAAGTTTGGTTTGTTCAAAGGTCTTTGTCTACCAATGGAAGTACGGCGTACCACTTCTTCGAATATGGTAGTAAACCGTACAAAGTCGTCCTCTGTACCAAGCCTACTTCTTACTGCGTGATCCAGATCACCTGTGCATTGCTCAAGGATTTTGTCAATCACTTCCTCTTTTGATATACTTGGTTGAGCTGCTTGTAACCGCTTTTTCTGTGTAACCAGCCATTTCACTGGTTCCGCATTTACCCTTGCGTTGAAAAAGTCTTTATCAAACGCAGATTGCATGTTCCGCCTCCAATTTCTGGTACCGAACTTAGCTATGATATGTACTTTCCACTCGTCCCAAGTATAACTTCCTTCGTTTCTCTTTTCTAGAAACCAAAGTTGGGCTAGCCCTGTTAAAGCTAAACCCATGCGTGAAGTGATGAGCGCATCTGGTACATGCATAGATTGTTTAACATGATCTACCCATTCTATGAAGGTCATGTGGTTATACTCGCCTTCGCCGCTGAATTTCGGCCAGTCTTTACTATTTGGCACTTCCTTTTTCAGCAAGTTATACATAGTGAGTTCGTTATCAGGAGGAGTTTCATGTTTAATTGTTATTTCTCGGTTTTTCCCTTTCTCGGTTTTACCAAGAGATTCCACATTTCGAGACCACTCTACTTCTTCCTCAGTATGTTCATATTGCTGTGACACCTGCACAGTTTCAATGGTTGGGAGCTTTCTGTCGTGTGACTCTATTACTGGACGCATTGTCATGTGTGGTGGTGTCTGGCGTTGATTAGCTGCAGCAGCTACTTCTAATGGTCTTACCTGATCATGTCTTAATTGTTCAAGGGTGAGGTTAGACAGCAACTTGATAACTTCTTCATTATGAGAACGCATAAGTGTAAGTTCTTCATCTTGCTTATTCACAGATGTCTGCAATTGTTTCATAATACCATTCATGTTTGCTAGCTGATCATGTGTTTTCTTTGTGAATTGTTCCGTGGGCTGTTGGTTCTCACTGTTTTCGCGGATAGTATCATTTGTAGCTCTCATGTTGTTGTTGAGAACATGGACCATCTTATTAATCTCCCTGGTTTGGTCGTCTAAATGCTTCTGATTATTATCCACAAGCAGTTGACGTGTACCAGCCATTGCATTGTCTATAGCTTCGATAGCATCAGTTGTCCATTTATGCAGACCTTGCTTAGTTTCTGTCATGTTCTCAGATGCTTTCTTTACTACTAAACCTATTTGATTCAACGTTTTTACTTGATCATTCACGTTCTTAATCAGCTCAGCAATTGTTTTATCAATCACATCAATTCTTCTATTCGCATCACGACTTTTAACGAGTGACAACATGGTTTTTATTTCATTAAACAACTTGTCCTGATTACATACAATGGGGTCAAGGTACATTTTCAGGTGATGAAATACAGGATTGATAAGTTCTTGATCTAAAGGGAGAATGGTGAGGTCTAGTTCCTCACTGCCTTGCCTGCCTCTCTGATGAGTTGAATCACTAGTTCGCCGTTGGAATTCCCTTGGCGAGAACTGGTTTGATTTCGACGTGGATGGGGGTCCGAGGATGGAGGTTTCCCTTTCGCTCTGAGCTCGAAAGTATTCCAATCCCAGATCGCTGGGTTCCAACTGTTGGTATGCTCCATTAGATACTTGAAGCCCATCAGTTTGGACAGTTGTCTGTGAGAGGCCTTGCCTTTGAGTGTCGCTTTCTTGAAGGCTGCTCGATCTTTCTGGGTCTTGGCCTGTTCCCACACGTCGTAGTTCGCTCTGTGCATCAGGAGTAAGTCGGTCTCTTCTATCGTGAGGGGCCGTCTTACTCCTTTTGGAGGTGGTGGTGGAGGTGCTTGGCTTTCGACTGCTGACTGGAGGTTGGGAACCTCGTCGATCATCATCGCCGACCGTAGTTGTTGCGTCTGCAACGCTGGGTGCTCGCGAGGAGCCGCTTCTAGTGGTGGGAGCCATCAGGGTATTAGTATGTTGGTTGTGTCTAAAAGGTCAAATTTTACAAGATTTCTTTCTTAAAAGATTGTTCTTACGTGGATGATACTGATTCTGAGTGGCGGTACCTTTTCTACCAAAGGACGCTTGGAACTCTAGTAGTGACACTGGTCTTGGCTCGCGAGGTGAAGTCTTTTGGCTTCGAAACGGATCTGCCGTACGTAGTTTCAACGGTGCTGGCTTCGCGTAGCGATTCTTTGTCGCCGAAGCTGGTGCTGTAGACGGAGCGATACTTCGCTGATCGTTCGGTTGATGTTCCACTACGTCACACAAGCAGAGCCGTAAGCCACTGGTACTTATGGAAGCTATAGAGTTATGTACGAGTCTTCGAATGACTCACTTCCTGCCTCTTCGTAGTCTAGGAGGTCTTCGTCTGCCGGGTTGTAAGGTGCTAAGGTACGAACTTCGTCTACGTTCACTGTTTCGAATCGAACACGGAAGACCCAGTTTAAAAGGATTGTTAAAATCGATCTCTCTTAGAGCTCTCGAACTAAACCAAATGTCTATGAGATAGTAATAGTTAACTTACTATTTTATAATCGATTTCTTGAGTTTGTTAAAGCAGATCCTCAATCCAAATGTCGTTGTCTAAATCGTTTAAACTAGCGTAAAGTTGTAGAAACGGGTGATTAACGTTTAAAACGTGGATTCCGAACGACTGGTGGTATGCTTCGTCCGTAAAAGGATTTTCCTGTTGGAACGAGAAAAAAGGGAGTTCTTCTAACAACTGAAGAGCTCCAACGTCTGTAGGTTGATAAGAAATTGTTGCTTTCGAGGAAAAGATCGAAAAGCTATAAAAATGCGCGATTCTATTTGGATCAATATCGAACTTGCTTTTGATGTGTCAGTTTGATAATTGATTAAAAAGAAAGGTTTCGAGTTCGATTTGTCTTTGTTTTTCCAAAAGAAAAAGAAAAAGGTATTTGTAAAGATGAGGCCCCCAATTGTCAACCTGAGACTACAAGTAAGGTGAATACTAGTTAGTTCAGAGTTGAAAGATACTCACAAAATGTATTCTTTCTAGTTTTAATCAAGATTTCTTGAAACTAGAGGGAGATTATTTTTCAAATTCTTCGTGAGTAATTAAAAGTAGTTATAGTTGTTAGTTATAACTGTCTTAGGTGCGGAATAAAACCGCTGCCAGTTCTGAAGATAAAAGTGCAATCACTTTTACTACCTTCCAAGGAGAATACGTTGTTTAGACGTAAGCAGTGCCTTAGGATGACGCTTCAGCGTTAGTTTGATAAAACAATTCTTTATCAAAAATAGAGGATAATTTTTAGGAACTTTAGTCGAAGATAGTCAGTACTATCACGATCTTTAACGTCCTGAGGGGGATATAAGATGAAGATGAAAAAGAGAAAAAGAGGT